ACTCAACTACAAAGGACAGACTAAATTCATGTGGTCATTGAGATCTTGCTGTGAAAATACAAGGAACCTTCAAAAAGTCTGTGGAACATACGTATCATGAAAAAGTTATTCATAGATTTCAAAATTGTTCGTCCTAAAGTACACTCATAACTTTAATGACATTTTTTCCACACATATTTTAAAATACCTTTGTATAATGAATATTGGCTACTACCGTATGGAATTATGAAGGCCCAGTTATTAGCATTTGGGCAGAATCTGTGCTGATTGATAGTCTGACTTGGTCATTGTTCTTCAAAGTAATCTTGTGTGTTTCCAGTTTATTTTCATTAAGCCTTTCTGTATAAAAAAAGAGGAGGAGGGAAAAAAATTCTGAGCCCTTAGACTCAATTCCAAAAAAACTCAAAGCAGTTAGTGTAATGGTTATGTCGCTGGACTCCCATGTACTCGATAGTGGTTCGAGTCCCAGACCGCTTGGCTTAAACTCACACCAGGCGCGTGTGCGTGCGTGCCCAAGATCCCAAGGGGAGAATGGAGGAGAGGGGATTGGGTGTGGCCATCACCCCTGAGGGGTGATTTCTCACTTTCTGTCTATCTGTCTTCCTGGTGAGCGCACATGCCCTATAGCAAAAGCTTCTCAAAAAACAAAAACAAAAACAAAACTAGAAAACAACAAAAAAGGCAGGCAGAGTTTACTACATAAAACTATACATCATTTTATAAAAAAAGAAAATATGTAATGAAAATACAGTCTAAGATTAGAAGTGATACTACTGATTGTGTATTATTTACTTCAAAGAATTCTGCTATTGCAGTCAACTGGGCTCATGCTCATTAATGAGATAAGTGAGATAAGGAATAAGGAATGCTATTCCTGACTTTTGTCTTAATTCCACTAGCGTCAATCACTGATATATCTTTTCTAGACCACCCAGGAGGAAATTCAGAATGAGAATCACCATTCTTCCTTCTCAGGACATTTTGCCTCACTCACTGGGACCACAATTCAACCATAAGGCAAAGATAGAAACTCAGAAGTTATCCTAAATTCCCTTCACTACCATCACCACGTCTAGTCAATTTAATAAGTTCCTGTTTGCTTTACCTCAATTACTTTTGCCTTATTCTAGGTTCTTATCAATTTTCCAGGCCTCTAATCTCATCACTCAGATTCCAGTCACACCTTCTCACATATCTTGACATCAGAGCAATTATATAATACCTAAGTCTACTGATCACCTTGTTGCAAACATTCCTTTAGTCTCACCACTAGTTTCAGGATAATGGACAAATACCTTATCCTAGCAGATGAGGCCTTCTATGACTTAAACTCTGCTATTTGTCCTGTCCATTTTCATCTTCTATTTTAATACATAATCCTTTCAACCCAATAGACTATACTCTTCTATACCATGTAGCAAGACAAGCTTCACCACAGAGAATCTCAACTTTGGATCTAAAACACACCAAGACCCAAGCTCTACATTTTCAAGAAGACATCAAGTTACAGAAAGGTTAAGTAATACATCCAGATCATACAGCTGATTAGGAACACAGTGGAATCAGGCCTCAATGTTTAAGCCCACCTTTCCAGAATATTTCTTTTTCCTATTTCTGACATTACTCAAAGGGATACCATTTTTCAGTATTAGAATTTGAAAATCTTAAAATGATACCAATCATTTGGTCTTTATTAACCAGTTGAATTTAATGTGTCTATCCAACATCTGCCACAACCACAGAGCTTCTTTTACACCCAATGCCACCCATTTGTCTGAAGACTTCCCTACAGTAAGTCTGCCAAGACTTCAATACAAAAGAAGCTCTCTGCCCTAAAAATAATCTTCTAATTCAACATGTTACCAAAATAAAATCTCCCAAATAAAACAACAGCAGAGAAAGACCTTAAAATGAATATGAAATATGCTAAGAACATTGTCACTGATACAAGCTTGACATTTTTTGTGATTAATAGTGAGATAAAATCTTGAAACACAGAAGAACAAAGCAAATGACAACAGAAGAGAAATAGTTTGGAAAGGGGCCCATTTGAAATTTATCCGTTTGAAAACAGGCTCTGCCTTTTGGCTACCATCATCATGTTCCTGTCCAGAAATTCATTTTCAAATGTTATTTCCATGCGCAACTCCAAATTCAAAATGCTGCTTGGTTGGCATGTTCGAAAATTGTTCTAAGATGGACAAAACAACAAGTGAGATGTTTTTAGAAGGAATCACAAGCATGTTCCACCACTTACTGGACTTAATTTATGCCACAGATACTAGTCTTCCCCTTACAATCCTTTAGTATCCTGTTTCTGTTTGGAAATGGGAAGCAAGAAACAGGATTATGAAGCCATTTCTCAACATTAGCATGGTACCAAAGTAAGTTAGCAAAGGAACACACATTTTCTAGGAAAAGGATGGGAGAGGAAATTGGCTTGAGCCTGGTCTAGCAGAAACTGTCAGTGATCTGAGTTTCACTAAATCTAATCACTGAGCCCTTATACCCAACACCACACTTACTGCCAAGCTGAGCATTAAAGAGGGCATATCACTTCAGAACAGTGCTTGTAAGAGGAACAAAAGTTACCTGTTGAATAGGAGAACTGGGTTTGTTAGCTAAAGATTTCAGTAGACTCCTGGATGCCTAGAGAATCCATCCATCAAATTAACATGGTTGTAGTATTATAAAGGAATAGAGTAAGAGACTGAGCGAGGAGGAAGGGATGGAGCAGAAAGGAAGTGACATTACAAGTTACCGTTATTAAATATTCACTTGATAGGCAAAACCAGCAAGAACATTTACCAAAAGATGCAAGTTATTAGTCATAAACTCCCATTTTACTTGAAAGATAAAATCAGAATAAAAATACATAGGAATTAACAAAGACAAGACAGCAATAATTCCAAAGGAAAAAATATACACAGCATTCATATCTAAAGTGTGGATAATATAATTGCTCATAGGAAAAAAAATGAAATTTTCTGTAAGTATTTCTGGAAGAATTTGGTATTACTTTGGTTTTTTGTTTTTGTTTTTGTTTGTGTGTTTATTTTTCCCCTACTTGGTTTTATTTTTTGTTCCAGAGTTTGAAATGTGCTCAATATCTGAAGTCTCATAGGGTAACTGGAATCTTTCTGGAAGGATACTCACTACCATACTGTATTAGATGCATTTTTATAAAACACAGTGTTAATTTAAAATGATAGGATTGAACTATATACCAATAAGAGCAATTGATGCAGTATGGATAGTGTCTCCTGGTATATAGGTCTCGTGGATCATACTAGCAGTTTAAAAAGATGACAAAGCTTGTCTAAAAATAATCAATCTACCTGAGGCACTTTCGTGGTAATTATGTGACTAATCAACAAAAGATATTTTCCATGAAAAAAAAAGTATTAATTAATAATATATTGAGGGGGATAGATACATATCTGTAGAGAAGAGTTAAAAATATTTTAAGATAAAGCCAATGAAAGACTTCAATTGAGAAAATATTTCTCATGGTACATGGAATTATTGGAGTCAGTCTTGTCGGTCAAATTTGGATTCATCAAAGCATTCTTTGCTCCAGATTGCCAATTCACTAGTGGTTCTGGAGGAAAATTTACATTCATTTGTTAATTCTTTGTCCCCATTCTTTTTCATGCCTTATCACACATGTTCCAATACAGCAAAATCACATATGTGCAAGAAAGCTTCTTCCTCACT